GATATTCGCAAGCAACTTCACGTTTCAACCACGGGTATAAGCTCCGGCAAACCTGATCCAGCGCGAGCATTCAATTTTGGCTCGCTGGGAGCCTATGACTGAAGTGAACCGCCACTGTCTCTTTATCACCCTTATAACCAAGGCACCTAATCTAATGATGATAAGGAGTGCTAGCAAAAGTCGTTGGATCTTTGTGCGTGCACGTTGTTTCTTTCAGTGTGAGAGACATTAAAGGTCCTACTCAAGATCTACCAACTTCCAAGGGTGTCACACCGGCGGATGCTCTACCATTTTCTTGACCGTTCGGGCCGTGTTACGGCGACGACCGGAGTTGTATGAGTTGCCACGTCGACGTCCGAGATCGCCGTTATTCCTTTGCGATTGAATCATGTGTGGCGGCGTGTGCCGTCCCAAAGCAGTCTACCTAGTCTCAAATACCTCAATCGTGTGCTTAGTGCGATAACGCCAATCGGACCATTGGAAGAAGTGTTGGAGCTTATAATGGAGTAACGTAGGAGTAACCGAGAGTTAGACACGACCTCTCTCTAAGAGATTTACCATAGATTGTTGTATGGGCGTTGGTGACGAGCAAAATGTGCTAGCAAAATGTACCGGGTCCTTTGAAGTAGGATACATTTCAACGACGACAAGCCCTTCGAGTGGGTGAGAATCGCCTTTTCCATTTGTATGAGCCAGATATTTGAGCCTATCTTGCTAGACCCCTTCATCTTCTTGGTTCTACGATGGTGATTTGAGCATATGAACGCTTTATTATAACGCATTTGTGAACGTGCCTTTGCAACATTCCGATGATGATGGAATCAAAGGTATTGAGCCACATTCGTAGCCCGTGCATGATAATCTAAATAACGTATGATGCAAATATGTTACCAAATGGCAGAACACCATCCGATGTGCTCCGCATGTTAGAAGTTTGAAATTCTTCACCGTTCTCGATTCAAGCATAGAAAAAAACACGATCATGAAGCGAACCATGTAACATACGATCAATCAATGCTAAGCTATACTAAGGCTAAATCATTTGGCATGAATGCCATTCCGTTGTCGACCGTACACATTTACCAGGTAGTGCGGCCTAAAATCGAAGAAATTGCAAACGAGGGCTTGTAACGATCAATGTGGAGTTCATTGCGCAAGCTACGATTATGGGTCTCTTGAAATCATTGTAGAATGCTGTAGAAAGCTGTAGAATCCAGAATTCAGTAATCATATACCGTACCAACACGCCGGTTGGGCAGATGTTTGCCCAATTCATTAATTACAAACTTTGAAAATTCGGTAATGCATTTTGGAATTTCTGAGAATTGGAATTTTTTTGAATATATGATCAAGAATCTTTTTTTTAGCAGCCAAAAAGGATCAAAGATCAAATATCTGAATTCCTGCACTCATTTGAAACTTTGAGCGAATGAATAAAAGAATACAAATAGTATTGAAAATTTTGGTTGAAATTGAATCGAAAAAAATAGTACTGATGCCCAACCGCAGTAGAGATGTAATGTCACTAGTTTCAACTGCAACGTAGGCATGACGTCATCACCGGTACCTACGGTGAACAGTGCGGCGGTACGATACCGTATCAAAAATGGTCGGTACCGCGTGCTGTGTTCAACCGCGGGCATTCGATTGCAGGGAGACGGTGTGCTCGGAGGATGTTAGAGTTACTAGAGGGCACAGACTGATCTTGGTGGGGTTAGTTGGGGGGTTACGGTGGGTACGGGCAAGCTATTGCGGAATGCCTTAGGGTATCGTCAAAACCAGGTTACTGCTCTTAGTTTGACCTTAGGGTTTCAGGTTTGGCAGGTCCGATAACTATGATGACGTCGCAGTCGAACTTTAGTGAAGTTACATACCTACGTCCCCAACCAGCACATTTTGGTACACTGTAACGGCACGACTGCGCACCGACTTCTGGCTGCGCGCCAAACTCGCGGCCGCGCATCGTCCGTTATTATACGCTATCGACTTATTTAATATATCAAATCACTACGCGA